GGGGTGGAGGTGTCAGAGGACCGACCACACTGTGGGTGCCGTATTACTGAGTGGATTCTGATGCGAAGCCAGCTCATGTGACAAGAACCACTCGGAGGACTGCCGGTGCTGAAAGATCCCCAGGTCTTTCTCCCACGGCGCAGGTGATCGGCTCAAACTTCTGCCCTCCTTGCTATCAGCCAAGCGCTTTAACTACAGTACCGCTCAGGCTTCATGACTGAACTGGCCTCACAGGGCCCTGAGGGACCGAGCAGAGCCACCATGGGGCTGGTGAGCTCATCCTGACAGAAGCAGAGCCTCATTGCAAACCACCCATCTTTCCATCAGCACCAGTGCTTAGCCACTGCACCACCAGTGCTCCCTGGATTCTGTGCTCTCTCTCCCTCTCTCTCATTGATGTCAAATCTGAGCCAACTCATAGCAGACCCTCCAGGGGTCACAGAGGCTGTGAGCTGCAGGGGGGACCCATCCGTCCTCCTTCCTTGTGGCCGTACCGCTGTGACCTGAACAACCGGGGGCCTGTCCACGACAGCGGATGCTGAAGCTTTCATGAGACTCTGAGGGGGTGGGAAGGGTCAAGTCACAGAAGAAGCATCCAGAAGACCCCTTACAGGACAGCCTGCATGGGGCCAGGGGCCAGGAGGAGGCATGCCTAAAGGCAGGTGTGAGTGGACAGGGGCAGGGGCAGCGGGGACAGATGGCCTCTTCAGAGTAAGTGGCCGCTCTGCCCGGAGGCCTAGGACCAGCCCACAGGAGCCTGGACAGGCCTGCCCCCTCCTGCCCAGTGTTCACACTCAACCATCACCCCAGATTCTGCCACGTGAACTGGGAACCAGAGGCTGGTGCTGCCCCCAGACCCTGGCCTGTGTCTCTGGCAATGAAAGGGGCCCGCCCACGTACAGCAAGACCGGGGAAATGGGCATAACCACTGTGGCCTGTGGTCCCTACTCCCCCCGGCAGGACGCTCAGGCAGAGGCTGCCCAGCTTCTGCGTCAGAGGGGCTGGCAAGGGCTTGGGGGCCCATCCTGGAAGGATCCCCTCCAGCCCACCTCTCACTGACCATGTCCAGCAGTGACGTCAGAGGCCGCAGAAACCCAAAATGGAATACTGGGCCCAGACACAGGTGTCCATTCCTGAAACAGCCCAGCAGCTGGGCCCACCCTTCCCACCTGAACCATCCACTGACCAGCCAGGCCCATCGGAGACCCCCAGGGGGCTAGTCTGAATCCAGCTCGGCCACGGGAGGCGGCTTTTGCCTGAAATTCTGTCTTTTTGCTCTGAAGTAACCAT